TGTTCGCTGATCTCCGACAGGAGTCCAAGATGGTGGATCCGTGCTGTGGTAGCTGATAGGGGACCTCTGCATGTACCTCTCCTCGCGCTGTTTTCTCGGTCAGTTTCCTACTCCATTCCGTGCTTGGCTGAGTTCTTTATCTCTTCATTTGATGCTTAGGGTTTCAGGACTGACGTGTGACTCTGTTTGACCTAGTTTTTCTGATCTTAGCTGCAGAGGGAGAGTGTGGTGCTTCTGACTATAGTGTCATGTTGTCTGGAAGTCTCTCAACAATTATTAAAGATATATTGTATTTAGAACATTAACACACATATTGTTCTACCAGAATTTCACTCTGACAGAAGGAAGAGATGGGATAGACCAGAGCAGCAAAAAAAAACTCTTATCCTCACCAGCATGTCATTTAATACAACATTAAAAGAACTACTAAGTGTAACCTAGTAAGCAATAATTTAACCAAATTTCCACAAAAAAGGTAATGTATTTACTGTCTGATAATAGACCCTTCTCTATACACTGCTACAACTATGAACGACAAAAATGCAATTTGTGATGTAACTGAAGCTTATTATGTAACAAATAAAATAAGAGTATTTTTAGGCATCTGAATCAAGATGGCCAACGGACTACATAATTTCAGAATCCCCAATAAAATCACAATCAAGTAATTAATAAAGATATAAATGTACATCGATGAAGGGAATGGGAAAGGGGAATCAGCAAACCAGAAACTGAAAGCAATTTTGGGAACACAGAAAGCAAACTAACTGAAGAGCTAGTTTTAGAGGAGTAACAGCCCAGAGAGCAAAGGGTGGGGGCTACAGCCAAGAAGAAAGCTAATCTGCCCTAGAAAACCCCAAAAGACTTAAGACTATCCATAGCCAGAGAAAAGGCAAGTCAGAATGACATAAGACACAGACAGACCTGAAAACAGAAAAATTAACTGAAAGTCTATATACGGGACATTTAATGTCTACATCTAATCCCTCCCCGATCCCACCCACAATAAACCACATGATAGCTAGGTGCTTATCCCCAAGCAAAACATTTCTAAGGAAAATAATGAGGCCTGGGGGACTCCAGAGGGACACAGGCGCCCACACTCTCTAAGTTCCCCATCCGCCTCTGCCCTCAATAAAGGCCAGTTACCCACCTCCTCATCCTGAAGAGCCAACGAGAAGCTCCATCCAGGTGCAACAACCTTCTAGACATCTTATTGTTGTCTAATTCTTAAATATGAACAGACTACTAAGTAACAATGGACATTTGAGGGTAATAATATGAAAGAGAAAGATCAGGGTAAACCAAAAAAGGGCCCAAGAGCAAAGAAAGATGATCAAAAACAGAAGGAACTTAAAACAAAACAAAAAATCTCTAATTGGTATTCAAAGATATTTGTGACGATTTTACATTCATAAAATAAAAGGGGACACTATGGAAAAGAAACAGAGAACAAGACAAGCTTTTAGAAATTGAACATATCTTTGACAGGATAAAAAATTCAGAAGAAGGTGAAAGCTGAGGAAATTGCTCTTAAAACAGAAAAAAGATAAAGAAATAAACTTGGGAGAAAATAGACACAGAGGGTCAATTCAGGAGTTCCAACACTCAATTAGTGGGAGTATAAAAGGAAAGAAAAATGAAACGGGAGAAGAAAATATTTTTAAAAACATATAAAGGAATACTGTATTCCAAAACCAGATGACATATACTTCTTGACTGAGAGTCACCTGCATTATGGGAAAAGACCCATGCATTATCAACAAACAGTAACTAAAGTGAATTTACAAACAGTAACTAAAGTGAATTTAAAAAAAAAAAAAAGTATAAGCGGTATTTACAGAAACTGTGAAAATTACCAAAAGTGCTGAAAACGGAAAAAGTGAAAAGTGGTTACCTCCAGGGAGCAGGAATGTGTGTGGAGGTGGTGATGTGGTACCGACCATCCAATATTTAAATCATGTGTATATATTACTTTGATGAAATGTTTCTTAAAAAATATTTTTATACTTTTAGATATTCAGAGTAGATAAAAGGCTAAATTAAAATAGGATTTATATCTGGATCACAAATAGTTTTAGAGTACTACTAATTGAATACGTACCTAAGATATGGGTGAAAGAAACAATCCAAATTTTGATCTGGCAATCCTGACCACATGATGCCAGTCGAAAAAACTGAAAGTCTTGCTCTCCATCTAACAAATATAAATTTGTTAAAAATAAATACAAAGAGCTGATAGCACATTTAACCAAAAAAAAAAAAATTCAATTTTTTACACTGAGATACATTAATTCTATTCATTAAAACTATATTCACAAGCAATATTAATTTATACCATATGACAAAAAGTCAGTTAAAGAATTTCTTTTAACAAGGTACTACAAGGGATTATACCTTTAACCCCTGAAGTTGCTACAATAAAAAGCATTTTTATCTACCTTCCACCAAGGCTACAACTCAAGGCTGCAGGGGCCAATACTGAGCCACTAAGTTGAGGGCATCCTCTAACACAGTCTATGAGGCTGTCATTGATGGAAACCATTAGCAAGAAAAGTCAGGATGACATGAGTGTTAAATGCTTAATCATTCCCAATTTTTTTCAGGATATATCAATTTCTTAAAAGCCTGATCTATATAATTGACATGGAATAATAACGAAAGATCTTTTTTCATTTTATTTAATCAAGACAAAGGCTGGAACTATATAAATCCAAAATAACATCCATTCAGCCCATTTGGTGAAAAATGTTACAAAATTAGGGTTAGTGTCACATAAAATCACTAGTTTATGTTTACTTAGATAATTTCAGTGTATATATTCACTAGGTAAGTTCCTAAATACTGTGGGCAATACAGACATTACTATTATCAACTCAATTTTACGTGAGCTCCATCTAACATAATTGATGCAACCTCATCAAAGGCAGTTCTGGCAGTCATGCAGTAAGGCACAGTTAAGAAGCTTAGTATTCACTTTAAGATTGTAGTCTGGTTTTGCAAATTTCAGTATATGGGATTTAATTTATACACCTGAGTATGAAAAATAAGTTTTTCTCTATGAAACTCTTTTGGTCTCATTTAAAGCACACATACTTTATTATCACACAACAAATTAACTTCCATTTCATTGAGTTTTTTTTTAACTCCATGGAACTTCCACGTTTTAACAGCATTTTTGGTTTTGTAGCACACATTCAGCCAAAGTGTATCCCTTCTCAGAGAGATCTTGATGGCGATAAAAAATTCTTGATAATCATTAAGTTTCTTTAAGGCAAAACATTTTATTCAGTAAGTGGCTGATGACAAAATATTTAAATGCTAGTCCTGATTAGGAAAACTATTTTTTTCATTGTTTCTTGACTAATACAAATTCTGTAGTTTAAGTAGTGAAAATTCAGCGAAGACAACAGAAAATTATGGAGCTTAACATATGTGCCTATGCTTAATATCTAAATGTAATATCTACAAATATCTTTTTCTTTAGGAAAAAAATATTTACAACATAATAATAACCTAGCCCAAGCTTTGACTGTGTCTTAAAAACTGGAGAAAAATGATCACTTATCCTTGGGGGCAAACCCTAGTATTTTTCCTTATTGGAGCAAAATGTCACAAAGACAAAAGAGTCAATATGTCATAAGTATTTACAGATATTAACAAATAACAAATCAAATAATTGTTACAAATTGAAATCATATACATTATCTTTTAAGAAAATACAGTAGTTTCCACAAATTCCTATAATAATCACTGTTAAAACAAATATCACTGTTTCACAGAATTTATTGACAAATAAGGATAATATCTATTTCACCAGAAGTATCAAAGACTAAAGAAGGAACAGAGGTTAAAATTATACTGAGAGAAAAGTAACTCTGAAGTATGCTCTGAAGGCAGGGTAGGGAATTCTCTGCCTGGACTAGTGAACCTTTCCAGTCTCATCAGCTACACATCCCTCTAAAGGCAGAACAAAGAGGGCCTTAGTTTTATTCTAACATTAGTTCATGTAATAATAGTATTTTGATTGAAAATCTATTTTCAGAGCATTTAGAATAAAAAAAGAAATCTAAATCTCCCTATGTTTGTGAAATTCATCAAAGACTCACTAAGTGCCTGTAAGGTGCCACAGAAATGGAAGAAATGGTTCTTATCTGTACAAGCTAGTCTTGATATAATAAAACAACACAAAACAATATAGTAAAAGAATAAATCATTATGATCAAATTAGGTGGGGAGTTTAATATAAGATTGAGTACATGAAAAAGAAATCTATTAATTTGCTACAGGATGTTTACAGATTAAAAAACAAAAGCAAACAAAAAATTTCAGTAGACCACGAACAGGAATTTTATTCATCAATCAACATTTCAAGGTCTACTATGTACCAGGCACTGTTAATAAAACCAACTCAGGCCCCAACCACATGGAATTTACAATCTAATAGAGAAAACACCATTAAACAATCTATATACACATACGATTAAAAACTGTGATACCTCTGTAAGTACTGCTATAAAAAAAAAGTGTGCAAATAAAAGCTTTTATCTTAATGATTTAGACGGAGTGTGGGGGTAGGAGCAGGGGAGGCTCATCTGAAGTGGTTTTTCACTTCAAGGATAACTAGGAATGAACTAGGTAAAGGGGCCTTATGTAAAATCTTTGGAAATATCTTGGAAACATTCAGGAATAAAAAGAACGCTAGTGTGGCAAAGGAGTCTTGGTGGCGCAGTGGTTAAGAGCTCGGCTGCTAACCAAAAAGATGGCAGTTTGAATCCACCAGCTGCTCCTTGGAAACCCTATGGGGAAGTTCTACTCTGTCCTGTAGGGCTGTTATGAGTCAGAATCCACTCAACCACAATGGGTTTTGTTTTCAGTGTGAGAAAAAGAGAATGAGTGAAGCCAAGAGTGATTTGTGATGAGGCAGGGAAACAGATCATGCAAGGTACTTATAGGCTTTGTTTCTGGATCTGAGGCTCTATCTTACCTTAATCTTATCTCAATAAGCCAATGATAGGTTTAAAATACCAGAGTGCCAAAACCACAGTTCTACTGTTGGGACCTATGCTGTCCAATAAGACAGTGATATGTGGCTGTTGAACAGCTGGAATGTGGCTAATCCAAACTGAAATGTGCTGTAATGTGTACATGGACTCTAGAGACGTGCAAACAAAGTAAAACATTTTATTAATAATTTTATATTGTCAATTTCAAAATGATACTATTTTGGACATACTCCGTAAAATAAAATACACTGTTAAAATCAATTTCATTGACTACCAGAAATTTTTTAATTTACATATGTGCCTACTAGAAAATTTTAAATGTGCATATATGGTTGCATTACACTGTTATGAGACAGCACCGGTCAAAACTAGAGGGGGCTAAAGGGAAACTTTCATCCTAAAAAAGAAAATAAAACTTAGAGAAGAAAAATTCTCATTTCACTGTATCTTTTTAAAAGCAAGAATCTATATATTCAGAAGCTTTGGTTTCTTCTTTTTTAAAATACTAAATGTGTTTCAAACATCTTATTTTAGAAATTTAGCTTTTGTAGAAATAAATTAGTAAGCAGAAAAATGTAGCTTTGTTTCCAAGTTTTTTATTTCACATTGCCATTTGAGTGTCAATATAGTATATTAAAAAAATCATAACCAACTCATAAGTAAAACCAACAGGGTTAAGTTCTATATATCACCATGTTCAAAGAACCTGGACTAACTGTATTAAGTTGAGTCATCCCCTAAACACACTAAAGGACCCAATTTTCCCACTTACTATTTGTTCATAACTGCATTTTGATCAAAAAAGACAGAAAAGGATGTATCCTTTATAAGAATGAATTAAAAGGGCCCCTCATTATATTAATGACGAAATGAAAATTAGCAAAAGAACTAAAAGTCATATGCAAATTATGAACAGGGATTACTAGAGCTTAAAAGAATAAAATGACTAACCAGAAACAGGCTGTGAAGAAAAATCGCAGCAGGTAACTCCAAGATCATGTGCTTTTTCACTATGCAGACACCTCATTTTATCATCCCACACTGTTAAATCTCCACATGAGGAGCCAGTGACAAAGAGATCCCCACTAGGAGAAAATGCACAGGCCACCAAGGAGCCATCCTTAACACTACCACATCTGAAATACAGCAAAAAAAAGCAGGTTGTCATTTCAGAGCATCTTTTACTTTATATTACAGACTCTAAAACCAGATTGATAGAGAAAAAAAGATAAATGGCTATCATGGAACTAGAGAGAAAGGGTAAAAAATGCCTACAGAAATAAAATATCATTTGCGTGTTATAAACTGAGATATGCTTTCTAAAAATAAGTGGGATTTAAATATTATTTTAAATAATGTAAAAGTCCAGGCTATACTAGAGAGGTCGAAACCAAAGTTCACATCTTCAGATTTATACATATGGTAAGTCAGTCTGAACACACTAAAATCTACAAAACTTAAAAACAAAGAATATCAACTATACACATATGCTAAAAAAAGTATTTTTATTGAAAAAGACATTTTTGGAGTAAAAAGTACTTTCAACTTTTGTATTAAAATCACTTAGAAGCAACAGTAAAGCCTTTCACCTCATGGTCAAATATAAACTCTTTACAAAAAGAAAATTATGCAAACAAGTTAAAGCTGACAATACAATTATTTTCTCAATTAGGAAAAATAAACTTGTAAAAGCCCAACCATTAGTGCAGTGTACCATCCAGTGGCTACATCTACCGTAATGTATCATTTTAGATCATTAATTACAACATAAATTAGGGAAGGTATGCTATAGAAGGGAGTCCCTTGATGGCGCAAACGGTTAAAGAGGTTCAAGTCCATCCAGAGGCACCTCAGAAGAAAGGCCTGGCAATCACTTCTGAAAAATCAGCCACTGAAAACCCTGTGGAGCACAGTTCTACTCTGACACACATGGGGTCATCATGAGTTAGAATCAATTTAACAGTAACTGGTTTTATGCTACAGAAAAAGTCATTACCTGATAAGTGAAACAAAAGATTCCTTAGCTGACAGCTACATTTCATTCATCTAATATAACTTAAAGGCCTTATTCTTTCTATGTTTTCCCTTTTAAGCTAAGTGTTTATTAATGCCCCTTAAAACACATCACCTTCTTCAACCTAAGGACCTAAACCTAAATGATCACAGTTGCTGACCTGCTGCCATTTGTGGGAGGAGGGGGTTGACTATTTTAACATTTTAACCATTTAAAAGTTATGGTTTTAATGTTGTTAATTTGCAAAATAACACTACTAGTATAAATTAATTGATGTATTTTTATCCAAAAGAAGTTTTTCAGCTAGAAAAAGAAGTACCGTATGATCTAGCAATCCCACCCCTTGGAATATATCCTACAGAAATAACAGCCATCACACGAACAGATATATGCACACCCATGTTCACTGCAGCACTGTTCACAATAGCAAAGAGATGGAAACAACCTAGGTGCCCATCAATGGATGAATGGATAAACAAATTATGCTATATCCACACAATGGAATACTACACAACGATAAAGAACAACGATGAAGCCATGAAACATAACATGGAGGAACCCAGAGGTCATTATGCTGAGTGAATTTAGTCAGTCGCAAAAGGACAAATATTGTATAAGACCACTATTATAAGAACTCAAGAAAAGGTTTAAACACCAAAGAAAACATTCTTTGATGATTATGAGGGCAGGGAAGAAGGAAGAGGGGTATTCACTAACTAGATAGTTAACAAGAATTATCTTAGGTGAAGGGAAGAACAACACACACTATAGGGGAAGTCAGCACAACTGGACTAAACCAAAAGCTAAGAAGTTTCCTGAACAAAACCAAACACTTTGAGGGACAGAGTAGCAGGAGTGGGGGTCTGCAGACCATGGTTTCAGGGGACATCTAGGTCAACTGGCATAAAAAAGTTTATTAAGAAAATGTTCTGCATGCCACTTTGGTGAGTGGTGTCTGGGGTCTTAAAAGCTAGCAAATGGCCATCTAAGATGCATCAACTGGTCCCAACCCACCTGGAGCAAAGGAGAATGAAGAACACCAAAGACACAAGGAAAATACTAGCCCAAGAGACAGAAAGGGCACATAAGCCAGAGACTCCATCAGCCTGAGACCAGAAGAACTAGATGGTGCCCAGCTACCACCAATGACTGCCCTGACAGGGAACACAACAGAGAGTCCCTGACAGAGAAGGAGAAAAGTGGGGTGCAGAACTCAAATTCTAGTAAAAAGATCAGACTTAACAGTTTGACTGAGATTGGAGGGACGCTGGAAGACATGGCCCCGGACTCTCTAATAGCCCAAACTAAAACCATTCCCGAGGCTAACTCTTCAGACAAAGATTGGATGGGACTATGGGACATAAAATGATACTTGTGAAGAGTATGCTTCTTAGCTCAAGTAGATACATGAGACTAAATGGGCAGTTTCTGTCTGGAGGCAAGATGAGAAGGCAGAGAGGGTCAGGAGCTGGTTGAACAGACACGGGAAATCCGGGATGGAAAGGAGGAGTGTGCCATCACAGTATAGGAAGAGCAACTAGGGTCACATAACAATGTGTGTATAAATTTTTTGTATGAGAAAATAACTTGAATTATAAACTTTCACTTAAAGCACAATTTTTTTAAAAAAGAAGCTTTTCAAGTATATTTTTAAAGAAATGATAATAATGCATCACCATACTCTTCACAAGAGTTCTTTCTTCTGGGGTTGGTCATTTACCCAGCAAGAAATCTTAGTCAAGTATGATCCCATATGTAGAAAATTCCAAAAAACCGACAAGAAAGCTTCTAGAGCCAACAGAAGAATTCTGCCAAGTTGCAGGGTACAAGGACAAGATACAAAAAACAGCTGTTGTTTCTATACACCAACAATGAGCAATTTCTGAAAAGGAAATTAAAAAAACAATTCCATTTACAATACCATATAAGAGAATAAAATATCTAGGAATAAATTTAACCAGGAATGTAAAAGACTTACATGATGAAAAACGTAAAATATTGCTGAAAGATTAAACGAGATCTAAGTAAATGGGAAGACATTCTGTGCTTACGGATTGGAAGACTTAACACTATTAAGAAGTCAACATTACCCAAAGCAAGCTATAGTCAAAGCAATCCTGATCAAAATTCCAACAGCCTTCTTTGCAGAAGTGGAAAAACCAGTCCCGAAGTTCATATGGAATCGCAGGAAACTCCAAATAGCCAAAGCAATCTTGAAGAAGGAGAACAAAGTAGGAAGAATCACACTTCTCAATTTCAAAACACACTATCAAGCTATCGTAATCAAAACAGTATGATACTGGTATAATAATAAACACAAGATCAATGGAATAGAATTGAGAGTCCAGAAATAAAGAAATACATGTACAGTCAATTGATTTTGGCAAAGTGCTAAGTCCATGCAATGGGGCAAGAATGGTTTAATAAATGGTGCTAGGACAACTGGATATCCACACGCAAAAGAATGAAGCAGGACTCACACCTCACACCATATATAAAAATTAACTCAAAATGGATCAAGGACCTATACATAAGAACTGAAACCATAAAACTCCTAGAAGAAAACATAAGGATGTTGCTTCAGAACCTAGTTTTCAACAACAGATTCTTGGGATACAACACCAAAAGCACTAGCAACAAAAGACAAAACAGGTAAATTGGGCTCCATCAAAATCAAAACTTTTGTTCAACAAAAGCCTTTAACAACAAAGTGAAGAGACAATCTACAGATGGAAAAAATTTTAGCAGAGCATATATTGCGTAAGAGTTTAATATCCTCAATATAAATACAACTCCTACAACAACAAAAAGACAACCCAATAAAAAAATGGGCAAAGGATCTGAATAGACATTTCACCAAAAAAGATACACAAATGGCCAACAAGCACATGAAAACAGGCTCAACATACTAGTCCCTTAAAAAAAAAACCAAACCTGTTGTGGTCCAGTCGATTCCAAGCCATAGTGACCCTGTAGGACAGAGTAGAACTGCCCCATATGGTTTCCAAGAGCGCCTGGTGGGTAGCAGCTCTAGCTCTTAATCACTACACCACCAGGGTTTCCATTAGTCCCTTAGGCAGATGCAAATCAAAACCACGATGAGATACTACCTCACCTGTACTGGGATGGCTAAGAATAACAAAAAAAAAAAAAGAAAAACAGCAGGTGTTGGCGAGGATGTGGATAAATTGGAACCCTTATCTACTACTGATGGAAACGCAAAATGGTACAGTCACTATGGAAAATGGTTTGGCGGTTCCTTAAACAGTTGAACACAGAAATACCATATGATCCAGTAAGTTCACCCCTAGGTATGTACCCAAGAAACTTGAAGGCACTGATGCAAACAGACACATATACACCAATGTTCATTGCGAAACTACTCACAATAGCCAAAAAGTGGAAGCAACCTAAATATCCATCACAGAAAAATGAAAAAATGTGGCATATACATACAATGGAATACTCAGCATAAAGAAAAATGAAGTCCTGATACCTGCTACAACACAGATGAACCTTGAAAACATTATGCTGAATGAAGTCAATCACAAAACAAAAAATATTATATGATGTCGCTTATATTAAATATCTAGAATAAGCAAATGTATAGAAACCAAAGCTTATTAGTGGTTACCAGGGACGGGAGGAAGGGGGAAAAGAGAGGTCACTGTTTGGGAAACACTGAGTTTCTATTTATGACGATGGAAAATTTGGTAACAGATACTGGCGATAGGTGCACAGCATGATTAATGTAACTAGTGTCACTAAATTGTACATGTGAAAAATACTGAATTTGAAATGTGTTATACATATTTTTACAACAATTAAAAAAAGAGGAATCCTAGCCAGGGAAATAGTTGTATCTCTTAGGTAAGATTTACCTATCATTACTTTATTACTGAGAACAATTGAGCCATGAATGACATAAAGAATAAAACCATTGAACCTTATTTGTAAAACTTTTTCTTTGCCTCTTAAAAACTCATAAGTCTAAAAAGATTAACTCTTACTTTATAAAAAAAAAAGAAAGATTGGAAATTTAAAACTTCCAGACCCAAGTACACCTACTACAAAAATTATAATACCTGTTTTTTGACCTTTAGATTACAAGTCAAATTTTTCTTTCCTTGTGATGTCTGATAATTACCTGCTTCCTAAATTAATCAAAATATTGTTAATAAGACTAAAACAAATGTGTTTAAATATTCATACCTGTATAACTTGTATGTCTGTATATTCCATAAAACAACAGTTCCATCAGCTGCCCCTGACACCAAACACGTGGAGTGTGGGGAAAATCGGCAAACCCTCACAGGGCTACCACTGGGCTGTTCCATCACTGCCAAAGTCTGCCCATTTTGCGTATTCCATAGGACAGTGGTACCATCTGTTGAACATGAAGCCAAAAGATGTCCTGAAGGGGAGAAACAGCAGCAGTGGACAGCATATGTGTGAAACTTTAACGGAGAGTGTGGCAGTTCAGTGAAGTTACTCAAGGAGTACACGCGAATTGTTTTGTCCAAGGAGCAAGTAGCCAAGAGGGAAGGGGAGAAGGCACAACAGTTGACGTCATCACTATGATCAGCTAATGTGTGAATTAGTTTCACCATGTTCTTTGTTTGAAGTAAAATAACCTGCAAATTTTTAAAAAAAGATAAAGGTTACTTCATCCTAGGAATCAGACAAATGCAACTCAAATCCATATAAAAGTGCCAAAAGCAATGTGTTTAATGAAAGCTCTTACAGCAATATTTTTGAAGGACAATCTATTATACGTGGGATAACTTGGAGAGACATAAACATTTAAGACTACACCCTCTGATGACGATCCCATCTACCATTACCATACCAGTAAAGCTCCACAACTGCAAAAGAACCTTGTCAAATAACTTCAAACTGATTTGATGGTGAACATCTAAAACCAAAACCTCAGGTGGTCATTGTTGCCTTTGAACCCTATCTCATAGCTAATCAACTCTTAACACTGCCTCATTTCAGATCTGGTAATCTCAACCCAAAAAGATTTTTCACTATTTTGACAAACTGCCTCAGCTGCTCCTTCCACAGGGTGGAGCCAGGGCTATTTCCTCTACCTTTAAGATGCAACCGCAGGACTCATAAAAAAATTAACAAAGGATCTCATTCAAAATTTAAGTGGCATGTTGAAAGTTATCATGTCATGGTTTGTCATCTTGTCTGATAAAGAATGAAATGATATAAAAGATCTGAGGTGAGGAACCAACTCTGAATAAATTAAGGAACCAAGAGAAGGAAATGAAAACGTAGGGGAAACAATTAATTTAGCCAGACTGTACTCAAGAACAAATTTACAAACTTAGAATAAAATCCAAGCATCTCACCCTGATCTGGCCTTTATTTCTCACATGTCAACTCCTGGCACTCTCTCACACTTCTTTCCAGTCCTCCTGACCAAACTGATCCTGGTCTTGGATCTTCATAGAGCTGTTTCCTTGTGCCTGAATTCTCTTCCCTTTGCTCTTAGAATAGCTGGTTTCTATTTCTCATTAGATCTCAATTTCAGCATCCCTCCTCAGGGTTTCTCGACCTAAAGTAATACATACCCCATTTTAATTCTCAGTGTAGCAATTACCATCAAATATACTTGTCTACTTATCTGTTCATTTATTTAGTGGTCTCCCCAACTAGGATGTAAGTTCCAAATGGACAGGAACCTTGTCCATCATGCTCACTTATGTATACATAGCACATAAAACAGTGTCAAGCGCCTAATGTGCTCACGTAAATACTTGTTGAATTAATATTTACTTTTCTCCAACTGAATTGTAGCCTTTAGATACTGTATATGGAATATAACATAAAATGATTAGAAAATTAAAAATAAAGCTATCAATACTAACAAATCTATGGCAGTGGGAAAATGCTGTAAAATGAGACAATAATTAGCCCTGAAGGGCATATATAACATTGGCTTGTAAAATTCATAATCTCTTGTCCTAATCTTGTTTAATTATGGAAATCTCTAGAACAAAAAATCATGGAGTTTGCCTTTTCCTATTTCCATCTTATTTCAAAAGTTCAGCCAGTTTTTTTCAAACATAAAACGCCAACAGAGCCAAAACAAACAAAACCTAACAGATTATCGCCTATGTTGCTTGCACCAAAAACAATCAAGATAAGGTGGTGCTTTCTGAAGAACTCCCAAATTCCAGCCGCACAACTGCACGTCGGTAATTTTTCAAACAAAATTCTCTCTCCTTCACCTTGGCCTCCCCAACCTGATGGCACGCCCTGCAGTTCGAGGCCAAGGAAGGAGGCCGTCATCAGTTTAAGAGTTTGTTTTGAGGAGCTCTCATTCTACTCCTACCTGCCTCAGCTCTCACGGCAAACGCTAAATCCCCAATAAACCGAGTCAACACACAAACCCCATTTAATCCAAAGCAAACAGGAAATGTGCAAAGAATTTCCCAGAATAAAGCCTGCCACTTACTCCCCCAGCACGCGAGATCTCTGTGGACCGGGCGACTCCTTGCAGGAGGGCGGCCTCGGATGCCCGGCGCTCACCCCGAGGCCGGCGCCGGCAGCAGCCTTCCGGGACCGGCTCTAGGGCGGGACCCGGATGAAGTTTCCCCGGAACGCCAGATTCCCGGGCCGACGCCGCGCAACCCTGCCTCGCTTCTGGAAAGGTGCCGATTGGTCCCTGTCGCGCGCTCAGAACCACAAACACAGGCTTTTGAACGCCCAGAACCTGGAGGGTATGCAGGCTGAGGGAGACAGCAGCCGGAAGGACAAAGCTCCGACAACAGCTGCGCTCGCCACCTGCCGCAGCTGCTGCTAAACAAGCCGGTGGGTATAAGCCTCCTGTGCCAGCAAGCCGCGCAGGGCACGTGACGCGCAGGTGAGGCGGGCGTGGCCGGTGCCCAAGGAGACCCTGGAAGAAGACCCGCCCTTCCGGGGACAGGCGATGGGGGTGGGGGATTGGGAACCGGGGCGCGTGCGCGCCCTTCCGCCTGCCACCGGGGAGGTCTCCTCTGAGGAGTTCAAGAGTAGTGCAGACCTAAAGGGCACAATCAGCCAACTTGACCTCACAGACATACAGAACACTCCATCCAACAGCTGCAAAGTACACATTCTTTTCCAATGCACATGGAACGTTCTCCAGAATAGACCACATCTTAGGCCACAGAGCAAT